GTTTATATTTTTGGTTTTATAGTGGAGTAAACCGGAGTTGCCGGGGAAAACCAATCTTTGTTTTGGTGTAAATAAAAAACTGGAACCAAACAAAGAACTTTCTAAAAGGCAACACCTGAGTCAGTTTTAACCAGTTATATTTCTTTGTATTGTTTTATATGACGATGAATTCATGTTCATCCAAATGGACCAACAGACACACRGTCCAAGTTCTTGGTTCCAGTAAAAAAAGGTTCTGTTTCTCTGAATTAGTTTTCAGTCGGTGTGGAGGTAAAACAAGTGAAAAGTCTCACAAACCAGTTTCTTTTTTTTTGTTTTTGGACTTTTTCTTTTCTTCTCCAGCTCCAAATCAGTTTTTGTCTCCAGACACTGAAGTTTCTCCTCCACCAAGTGTTTCAGTTTATTCTCTTCATTGGACCATTTTCTGTGGTTTCCTGCTGACCCTGTTGTTCTGCAGGTCCAGCAGAAGGATCCTCTGGGACATTCAGAGCTGTGGGCTCTGTGAGTTCAGGGTCTTGGTGGTGAACCTTTGTGGACTCGTCTTTGACCCTTTCCTCCAGATTGTTTTCCTGAGTTGTTGGAAGAMTGGGTGTTTGGTTAACAGAGTCAGTCTCCACTGACGGTCCATCTTCAGGTTCTGTCTGACCTGTGCGTCCTCTGTGGGAGGGACGTAGCTTTGTTTGTCTTTAACTGCATCTCTCTCCTTATTTAAGCAGTCGATCGTATATTTTGCTCGATCCAGTTGGACAGTTTTTTCAAACTCTCTGTCTGCCTGTCCTTTCATTTGAGTTTGAGTCTCTTCCAGCTGAATCTTCAGGAGGAGATCTGATTGCAGGAGGTCTTTTAAAGCAAAGACTTCTTTCAAACAATCTTCTTTCTCTTTGTGAACTCTTTGGAGCTCACCACTGAGGTGGTTGCTGGTTGTTCTGGTTTCCCTCAGCTCACCATGAAGTGCTTCCAGCTGGGACGTCAGCTCATTGTTACAATCTTTGAGGCAGCTAAGAGTTTGTCTGCTATCTTCTTGATCTGTGTGAGCTTTGTCCAGTTCTTCTTGGAGATCATAAATCATGTCGTTGTACTGTACTTGGCGAGGGATCTCTTCCCGCCCAGACACCCCTGAAAGGTCTTAAGTTCCTGTATTTCTGACTGAGCCTTAGCTGGACCACATGGGGCAACTGGAGCACAGGACCTGTCCTCAGAAAGTGGAGGTGCTGGCATACCTTCTATACCTCGATGGAAGTGTTGGTACTTCAGGTCAGGTGGTCACTTAGTGTCATGCCCAGGACCCTTAAGCTGGTTGGTGATGATTTGACCCAAAGTTTAGACAAACTCATCAGTTATTTTGACCCAAGGGCAGCTGGAGGGTGGATTCTAAGAGATTTCTTCACTATGCTTACAGACAGACACAAACATTTATACAGTCCAACCGCTCCTCCTTAGTCTTATCCAGGTCAGTTAATCACAGCTGTAAAATTGAAGCTGAAGTGGGAAAACTAATGATGTTTTTGTTTGTTTGTTTCAGCCGTTTCCATCATGCGCCACAGTGCTTCAGCATTTGGATTTGCTGTAAGTCCAGCGTAACGACTCCAACCATCGGCACCAGAGGGGTGGAGTTATTGTAAACAACGTCTCTGTCTTCTCCCTGCAGTTTGACGCAGTGCTGGATGTCCTGTCCTCTGTCATCGTGCTGTGGCGCTACAGCAACGCTGCCGCCGTCCACTCGGCGCACAGGGAGTACATGTGAGTGGACGCTGAAACTCCACAAACCAATCAGTACTGTGTGTGTTTGTGTACATGTTTTTGCTACCCGGTGGGGACAAATTTTGACCAATTTCCTGGTACACACAGCCTGGTGAGGACCCACTGTTCCTTATGGGACAAAAGCCCAGTCCCAATGGGGAAATACCAGTGGTTAGGATTAGGACCAAGGTTTGAATTGAGTTTAGATTAGGTTTAAGGTAAGAGGTCAGGGTTAGGTTGTAGAAACGACTAATAAATGAATGGAAGTCAATGCAAAGTCCACATGAGGATAGAAGAACCATCATGTATGTGAGAACAAAAACTCCCACTTAGTAAMTGCAGACACCCATTTCTCTGATTCATCACTGCTAGCAAACTAAACACAAAGAAGACAGAGTTTGTTTTTTATCAAGTAGGCATGGTTTGAAAATTCATCATGGACTGAGAAAAAAGTGCAACTTTAGCAATGTAGCTGATGAAATTTGAAAAGAGGTGTAAATACACGTCACCAACACACTTTAAGTCTGAAGGCATGTGACATAAATGTATCACTATGGTTAACGGGGCAGCACATTGTCACACCGACATGTCATCCAAAGGCTAGACTGTCTCATCTCACAGTAGTTTTACGTAGCCTACACAGACTGCATACCCTGTGAGCCCCGTGGGCTGAAGCCCATGAATTGGGACACACTCACATAGTCTCTCCTGACCCAGGTTCTTCTCCCAGTTGGACACACGTGAGTACATACATAAGTGGAGCAACACAGCTTTAAAACACAAGTAGGGGTCTCTGCAGTACATGTTGTCCTGTGGGCAGAGATGGCTCTACCTGTGATTGGCGGAGTTGGTGTGTGGGCGGAGTTTACCCTAACCCTGATTGGTTGGATTGATTGTAACGTAAAAGAGGAAATAATAGTAAAATAGTAGGATTTATTGACTGTCTATGTACAGTTTAAAACAAAACAATGACTCAAATAAAAATTAGTGTGAACATGTCAACATAATTTATTGACTTGCGGCAAGCACCTTCCTGTCTCAAGTTATGACTAATATTCATATTGATTTTTAGCGATCTTTTCACAGGCTGGTTAGGACAGTTTTGACCAAGCAAAATTATTACTTGTACCTCCACATGTACGACATTTAAATATTGTGTAGCTAGCACCTGCCTGTTTCAAGTTATGACCAAAATTAATCTTAAAAACATGCTTTCTGCCCGACTCAACCAAGCTACTCCTTGCTGCCCCCAACATCTTCAAGCCCCACCGTCAATCTGAACAATCACATCTCGGGCCAACTCCTCCCACAAGACAAGAAACTCCTACTTTGTGTCTGCGGAGACCCCCTTCTCTTAAAACGTGCAGAAATAAGCATGTAATCAGCTCCCACAGAGTGACCAGGTCCATCTTTCTGAGATGATCACTCTCAGAGATCATGCCCTCTGGAGAGGAGACGGTAGCTTTTAGTTCCCTTTCAGTCAATTCACTCGGTACAACATCATGTATGGGAACCACGCCCCTGCGTGTCCTGGCTGAAGCC